ATGGAGACGCTTAGCCCTAAACCCTAAATCTAATTCTGATGGCCTCATCCAAGCCAGCACTGACTTGGGGGTACCGGGCGAGCAGAAGCTCCTGGTGCCAGGGCCAAGGGTAAAAGACCTCCAAACTGGATCTTCATCTGCAGCCTTAGTGTCGTTACAAGTACATGTATCTTGAGCTTTCAGAAGTCCAGCTCATCGTGCACGTCGCCCCTCTGTTGGGGATGATCCAGATGTATGTCGCCCCGCTGCTGAGGATGATCCTTGCAGACTGCTTGCACAAGTCTTACGCTCAGGGCTGCAGCATTCCAAAGAATTTCTGCACGACGTCTGCGACGACATCTGAAAGGAGTAGGAATAACATTAGAAGTAGCTGAGGATGGGGCTGATATCGCCCTCATGACAAAGGCAGACGGGTTACGGACCTTAGAGAGATTCCAGCAACAGCAAAGCGCCTTCGAAGAATAACAAGCAGCACTTGAGCCGCTAGCATCTGTTCGCTTCGCGACCTCCTCGATGATCTCAACCGCCTCAGCCATAGGACGGTCAGGACTCACAAGCAAGCAGAATGTCGAGATTTCGTGCTCCTTTTATACCGCAGCTTCGCAGAGCGTGGACCTGCTGATACTCTTTGACGCAATGACCAACTCCTCAGCGCCAGTATTCGATTCCAGATTCGCCGTTTCTGCATCGCTTGAGGCCATCAGCCCACCGAGCAGTGGCGATTGCGTCCCAGTGCGGCGCGCTATCAACAACCCTGAACAGCTTGAAAAAGGAGCTTGCAGCCCGCTTCAACCCAACACCTAAGCGTAGCGTGACAAACTCGGACTCCGAAGGCGAGACTCGCTCAAGCAGGCACGGATTCCTCGTTTCAGGGTTTCGGGCTGCTCCAGGGGACGATGCGTCCATCGTCACGAAGGGCAGCAGAAGCACCCCTTCTGGTGGCTTGGATCTGCTGCACATTCTTCAGCTGATCCTTCAGCAGCGCTAATGTCACCACGATGGTCCGGACTCCCCGAAGTCACCATGCTTCCATCGCACAGAATGGCAGCAACAGCTTGGGAAGAGGCTTGGATCCGTTGCACATTCCTCAGTCTGACCTGACAGCACCAATGTCACCACCAGAGTCAGCATCACCCCATGTCAGCACGGATCTCAGAATGGCAGCAAAAGCCATCCTTGTGGCTTGCATTTGCTGCACAGTCTTCAGTTGATCCTGCACACCGCTACATGGGCATTAAGAAGAATCCCGAACGAGTCCACCAGCCGCCCTCTTCCGACTCCGAGGGCGGTCTGTGCCCGGCGGCAAAGTGTGCCAACATCTTCATCAAAGTGAGCTTGCACGGTAACGGTCTTGCCACTCAGCAGCCGAACTTGCACAACAATCGACATGGTGTCCCCTGCTCCATTCGGCAACATCGGAGCTGCCAGGTTGACTGCAGCTCGACCGATCGTCGTTGCCGGGGTTGGCAACACAGGAGTGGCGGTAGTTGTCGCACAGCGTTGCAAACAAGAGGGTCATCGCTTACTAAAGGCAACCAGGCCTTGAAATAATAATTAGTACTACACTACAGCTGCTACTATAAGTAGTACCGTTTCTGCTTCCATGACGTAAGACTCCTCATGATCATTACTAAACACGTACATCAGTCTGCGGCGTTGCTTTTCCTAGTACTGCTGCCTTAAGCGGTTTTTTCCATACCTCAAATGGAGTTTAGGGTCTTCGTGTTGGCATTTGCAGCTGAGTGTGCAGCAAGACCGTAACCGTCACAGCAAGCAACCATACTCCCCTCGTTGCCATAATAATTTAAGGCCTTTAATGGTTAGCAAAGGGTGTTGGGCGACCAAGTCTAGTAATATTTCATGGGACTATAAACAAGTATTTACACCATTTGTTCAGACATCCATATCATGTCTTCTTTTGCTAGTGTTTAAACACGCCTAAACCAAAGACATTACCGTGAGATTCCCGGGCTATGTTCTCTGGGTTTAGGAATTCTCTCGGACCAGGGATTTTAGGGGCGTGAGGTCGCCAAAACAGATCCCGCGTGGGCGCAGCCCTTGCCAAACTGAGCACCGAACTCGAGATGGATCCACTGTCTCCAACCGTCGCCTGCCGATCTGTCGAGCCGCACAGGTCGTCCTGACACACCCTCCCTCGGCCTCGCATCAGCATCTAGCTCTTCTGCCAGGCGCCGATGCCGTACCAGCGCCTTGGCAAGGACAGAAGTCGTGCACAACTCACAAAGCAGCTTCAACTGGCCTTCGCCGGCCCTATATCATGTCAACGATGTAGACGTTCATCATGCTTCGTTGGCACTGGCTGCATCAGCTACTGCACAGTGGGTGGCCTGGTCCACCACGGAGTGCCTCATCGGCGACCTGAGAGCTCTACGACATTTTTGGAACTCTTCTTATGGCTCGCTTAGAAAAAACAAAGAAAGAGTCACAGAACGTCGCAGACACCAACCCCTCGGAACCAAGTCTGATTCCGCCCCTATCAGCTCTGCAAGGCTCGACTTCGCGCCCCTTTTCCGCTGGTTTCCGGACCATTTTGGATTCTCTGTGGCTGAACCGACACACTTTACAGCAGGAGGCAGCAAAGTCACCGGCGAAGGCCAGGAAGATCCAGAAGACTTGCAGGATTGGAGCTAAGGATGAATTGAAGCATACACTTCTCAAGTGGTTCACACTGAGCCCGGGAGTTCAGGGCGAAAAAATCAGGCTCACAGCCTCGAAGTGTCAACCTGGCAGCAGCCTCGCCCCTAAAAATCCGACCCAAAGCACTTTAGGTCATGAGTTGCCTAGCCACCAAAGCTCGGTATTCTTCAAGCACCTCCGGTGTCAAACCACCATGTCTGCAAATTTGCTTCCGGCCGGGCACTCCAGGAACCGCGAGACCAGGATCCTGGCTAGTGCAAAGGCTGCGCCGTGATGCGCAGGGGGGCAGTCTCGGATCGGTTGTCTGCCGGGCTGATACCCTTCCTACCGTCTAACGATCTGCTGCCCTTCTCGAAGCACTCAAGTTTACAGCGGGTACGTGGGAGACTTGTGATCAAAGGCATGTGGGAAGCTGCATACTGTCAAGCTCTGCCGACCCGTTCCGCTTTTTGTGCTGTGCTTTGCAGGCCTCCAAATCAAGAAGATCATGCCCGCACCGAAAGCCGCTCGCACGTCAAGCAGGTCAAGGGACACGCACCTTAGTTGATACTGACAGCTTTTTCAGCATGTAAGGCTTTGCATGAGTCCTGCGCAATGGCGGACCTAGCTGCTTACGGAACTGGTACTGTATTCTCGTGGCCGCGAGTAGTCACTAGTCTGCACTGATTACACGAATCTTTTACATGAACTGGTCTAAGCACTATGCAACCGAGATGCACCATGGCCATCCAAAGGAAAGCCACGGCCTCGACAAAGCGATGTTAAGTTGGCCATGCCGGAAGACTCGCAGCTCAAGGAGCGCATGTGACTTCGCCGCTTCCGCTCCAAGGTTGCGGGAAAGCTCCGCTAGCCCTGGCTAAGTGGCAGGCTGGAACCACAGCAGGGTAGCGCCGCCGCAGCAACGTTTTACCAAGCCTTCATGACACAAAAGAAAGCTTGAGTCGCAATTGGCTGTTGTTGTCGATCTTTCAGGGATCGGGGCGGCCTGGTCTAAAGTTGAAATCTTCAAAAGTCTTCATTCGTTGCCTGCTTTGGCCGAGCCGCAGTACGCCCAGTGTATAAGCCACAGCGACAAAGGCTGGCAAAGTTACCAACCAAGCGAGCAACTTCGAAGGTGGCACGATGCCGGAATTGACCTTCAGGGTCCGCGTGTAAGAGACTCGCGCTACACGAGGAATCCCGACTAACTATCCAGCCACCCATAAGCAAGAGTCATCTTAAGCGATCTCTCATGAGACGGCGCTAAATACTCGGTGTGAGCATGTGTGAGCAGCACTGTGATAGCCGGTCCTTGAAGCCAAGCTCCGGGGGAGACTCTGCAAACTTTGGGGGCGGACCTTAGGTTCGCAGCACAAAGCTGAAGAATGCTGAAGAGCTCGCCTCATCAGAATCATGACGCACAGCCAACCCGGAGTCTTGGTGCAAAGAGCGGCCATATCTCGACATGTTGAGCAAGTGCTCCCTATCCTCGCTGTTGCTCCAAGGCAAGTCTGCATCCTCCGACTGGCAATACGAAGGAGCATTGCCGTGATGGACGTCTGCAGGACATGTTTCCTTGCGGCACTTACAGGAGTGCAGGCCCGTGAATTACTCATGGTATCGGCTTTACAGCGGTAGCATCCGAAGGATTCATTGGAAGCGCGGGATTCCATCATGGAAGCCAGGGTTCCCGTGCCAGCTGCTCGAGCTGCTCCCGCGAGACGGTGGTGCTTCGCCCGTTCGTTCTCATCCAGTCATCAGGAGTTTGCGGATTCGTAGTGCCTGCCTGGTCAGGATGAGTCATGTGCAAGCAAGACTTAAGACCACCCGGTCACACCTACGAGTAGCAAATGCAGCTTCAAGGAGCAGCTCCAACTCTTTTAACTAACGCAGCACAGGCCTCATGGGGATAGGGGCAATCACGAGGAAATGCGTGATGCAAAAACCTGAGTAGGGAAGAATAGGCTTTCTGCGAGCACTTCCTTGCCCGCCACAGCCTTTGAGAATAGTGTGGGCTTGTACCACTAAGTAGCAAGAGTCTCACTTCGCTATCCAGCCTGAGGATGTTCTTCAGGGTCAGGCCTGTAAAGTCATCGATGGTCTCCGTTGTTTACATGAAGGCTTCGATAATAGTCTGTCGCTAGATTGAACCCGGGCAAACAGCAAACTCTTAGAATCTAAGATGGACTGGAAATCGACGGCCGACGGACAAGCAAAGGCAAACCAACAAAGGCAAAAAAACACCACACCGTCACCGCACCCAGAATGACTTCCGGCTGTCTGAGCGATAATCCGGTAGCTGGAGCGTGCGCTCCAGGTTTGGGCTAACCGTCTAACCTTTTGAAGAAGCCGAAATTTCACCTCTCAGCGCGCAGAAACCCAAACCCAACCCTCCCAAGCCATGAACCGGAATGAGAACGCCCTTTCACACCCATGAACATATATCTGTTGCTTGAGGTGCTGGGCAAAGAGGCGACCGTGGAGAGGAACGAAGCCTCCGCTTTGAGCTGCGATGCTGTAGAGGCGCTTCTGCAGCTTGGGGTCGAGGCCTGATGCCGGAATATGACAGAGACGTCTCGATCGCAGGCCGGGCCCCAAGTTGGAAAAGAAGCTACCATGATACAGTATGGTGCCAGCTGTTCCTGAGCTTCCTGAGCCGGGGTGGGCTTTCGGGAGCCTTCTGGGTCCTACATACCCACCCGGTTCGGAAGCTTGGCGATCCTGTCTTCCGACTTGCGACATGTAGGAATCCATCCACCGCAGGAACAGCGTCGACGTCAGTGAGTGTTGATTACATCACAAGAAGGACGACCGTTCCGCCTTCCACTGAAGCGCTGTGTGCTTCCAGCTGTCAAGCGCACTCTCATCTAGCAGATAACGTCGAGACACGCCCTAGTTCATGCGACCATGCGTGCATGGAAAATCAATCAGTCTTGTCCTCAGGATCGCATTTACTGAGCCCATTTTTGCACAACGCTCGTTGCCGGCCTTTGTCGAAGCTCCTGCTAGGTAGCGGTATATCACGTCTGCACACAGACTTGTTCCCCGATCCCTCGTGTTCCGGCCTTTGACATCCCTGAGACCAGCGACGATCTGCGCCAGCTGAGCAGCACTGGCTGCCGGGCCCGCCACCTGCTTGAATTCTGGCAGGCTTTGAAACTTTTGACCATCTTGCATTGTGGCTGCAGGGTGCATGCACATGTCCCAGGTTCAAGACAGCTACAACGCCAACGACGAATGCCAGGAGAGCAAGTGCAGCTCATTTGAAGGAAGATCACCGACCCTGTGCCGTAGTCTCGGGCTGGCAACTTGCAGGACCTTCCGCAGCGGGAAGAACTACAAGTGCAGTACTTTTTGCAGGTGCGATTGGTGGTCTGTCTGGCCATGTTGGCCCATGCTAATTTCCCCTTCTGCATGTTTCCGCCCAGCAGTAGCGAATGTGATGTGCTATTGAAGTGGACAAGCACATAGAGCAATGTGCATGGTTGGCGGAAGCTCAGAAACGAGAGAACAAGAGTAACAAAAGTCGACTAGGTCCGGCAGTCTTCGAATCTCTCCAAGATTCCCTGCCAGATAAATCTCGGGGTTTGCACCCCAGTCACCCCAGCTCCCTCCCCCTGCTAGCTCTGCTAGCTGGCTTAGGCGAGCTTCGCACGGGAGCAGCTAAGAAGCGCACGGCTTAAGTTCTTTGTACAAGACCTGTGCATGAGCACATGATGGCACAATGAAGATCCAAAGCGGAGGCTAGATGACTTAGCTGAGCCTCTCCACAATTTCTACATACTCTTGCCAGGAACACACATCCCAGAAGGGCTTGCCACTGCTTTCTCGGACCCACTTCCGGTGCAAGGCGGAGCAGGTGAAGATTGCAGTCTTGATGTCAGTGATGAGCGACACAGCTGCTTCGATGGCACCCCGTCGAATTTTGAAACCATCTGTGAGGGCGTCGGAGTCCATGGAGTCCGGGACATCGATAACCAAATCGATCTTGCCCGTCTGCAGCATCGTTAGCACGTTCGGCTCTCTTTTGATCAGGGGCTTGTAGACCAGGCTGCAAGAAAGTCCGCCGGTGTTCGTCAGGTACTCGTGCGTGTTCTTCGTGGCAAAGAGAGTGAAGCCCATGTCCTGAAGCTGCTTCGCAGCACCAGTTGCCAGGAACTCGGCTTTTGCAGCAGCAGGACCGATGGAAACTAGAATGTTCTTTGTCGGCAGCTTGAAGTTCGCTGCCATCATGCCCTTCAAGAATGCCTCGTAGGCATTGACCCCGAAGCATGCCACCTCGCCGGTGGAAGACATCTCGACACCGAGTCGGGGATCAGAATTTTTCAGGCGGCCGAAGGAGAACATCGGAACCTTGCATGCTACAAAGTCAATGTCCATCGGCTGGATAATTGCAGGATGCACAGGCATCCCTGTCATGATGCGGGTCGCCAGCTCGATGAAATTCACATTGTAGGTCTTGGAAATGAAAGGCATGGATCTCGATGCCCGAAGGTTGCACTCGATCACCTTCACTTCGTTGTCTTTGCAAATGAACTGGATGTTGAAAGGCCCCGAAATCTTCAGAGCACGGCAGAGCTTCTGCGAGATGCTCTTGACCTTTCGATGGGTCTCAACGAAGAGGCGCTGGGCCGGAAGGAGCAGCGTGGCATCTCCACTGTGGACCCCGGCATTCTCCACATGCTCTGCAATGGCATAGTTCACAAGGTCTCCGGACTTGCCAACCCCATCCATCTCGACCTCCTTCGCCCCAGTGATGTACTTCGAGATCACAACCGGGTGGTCTCGGCTTACCACGGCAGCTGTCTTCAGGAACAAGTCCAGGTCTCCGTCGTTGGTGACCACACGCATAGCAGCACCGGAGAGGACATACGAAGGGCGCACCAGAACCGGGTAGCCTGCCGCCTTGCAGAATTGACGGGCTTCCTGCAATGTTGCAAACTGGGACCACTCTGGCTGATCAATGCGCAGGGAGTCGCAAAGCTGGCTGAACTTGTTGCGATCCTCGCAAGCATCGATGGCCTCAACAGATGTGCCAAGAATGCGGATTCCACATTTGTGCAATCCCAAAGCCAAGTTGTTCGGGGTCTGACCACCGACAGAAATCACCACGCCTCGGGGGTCTTCCAGCTCAGCGATGTCCATAACACGCTCGTGACTAAGCTCTTCGAAGTAGAGTCGATCTGACTCATCGAAGTCTGTCGAAACAGTCTCGGGGTTGCAGTTGATAACAATGGCCGTATGACCCAGCGATCGAAGAGTGCGAATGCAGTTTACGCTGCACCAGTCGAACTCAACACTGCTGCCGATCCTGTAAGGCCCACAACCCAGCACGACGATTCTGGAGTCAGCATCAACATCCTTGTTTGCCTTGCTGCTCTGCTGCATTACATCAGAAGAGCTCTGGAAATTGAGTGCAAGTGGTTCTGGAATCGCGTAGCCCGAAATCAGCTCGGTTCCTGGTAGATCGGAGCACTGCTTCGTACTCCCCGCAAGCTGCAGGTCGTGCTCATCTCCACTATAGGTCACATAGAGGTAGTTGGTAGTGGCAGGGAACTCTGCCGCCAACGTGTCGATTTGTTTGACGGTAGGGACGATGCCCAACTTCTTGCGCAGGTGCCGGACATGAGCTTCAGACACAGGGCCTCCAGAGTAGCGCTGAGAGCCGTGATCAGAGGGCAACAGGTGCGGAGAGATCTCGCTGTCAATGATTTTCTCTGGCGCAGAAATGATCGCAGCGATCTGCTTGTCGGAGAAACCGCGGGTCTTCGCCTCCTTCAGGAGCACTGGATTCTGCCGCAATGCATAAAAGTCCAATGACTTCATCGTACCCTTGAGCATGTGCAGGCCGTGCAGCTTCGACAGGAACCAGCGATCAATGTTGGTCAACGTGTGAACCTCTTCCACATTCATCCCATGCTCGAAGGCTTTGGCAATGGCCCACATTCGCACCGGAGTCGGGTTGGCCAGTTCCTTCTTGAGCTCCGCATCAAAGTTTGGACCCGAGGTGGCTAAGCCACGGCGGCCGAGCTCCAACTCGTAACGAATAGGGTCAAATCCCAGGCTTGCATCATCCACCATGCGCAATGCTTTCTGGATGGTCTCCTCGAATGTGCGCCCGATGGCCATGACCTCTCCTACGCTCTGCATAGCAGAACCAATGCGGGCATCGACGGTGGAGAACTTCTGCAGGTCCCAGCGCGGTACCTTTGCCACACAGTAGTCGAGGGAGGGCTCGAAGCATGCAGTCGTACACTTGGTGACGCTGTTCCTCAGCTGGACTAGGTCGTGGCCCAGCGCCAGCTTCGCAGCGACATAAGCCAGCGGATAGCCAGTCGCTTTGGATGCAAGAGCACTACTTCGAGACAGCCGGGCATTGACCTCAATGATGCGGAACTCGGACGTCTTTGTGTCTACGGCATACTGAATGTTGCACTCCCCGACAATTCCAAGGTGCCGAATAACCTTCAACGCGCACTGGCGAAGACGATAATACTCTGCATTGGTCAGCGTTTGGGAGGGTGCAATGACTATGGACTCGCCGGTGTGGACGCCCATGGGGTCAAAGTTCTCCATGTTACAAACCGTGATGCAATTGTCGTTCTTGTCCCGCACGACCTCATATTCAAGCTCCTTCCAGCCCTTGAGAGACTTGTCGATGATCACCTGTGGGCTGTTGACCAAGGCCACATTGACCAACCTCCGCAGCTCTTCCTCGTTGTCGGCAAAGCCACTGCCAAGACCACCCAGAGCATAGGCTGCTCGGACCAACACCGGGTAGCCGATCTGTGTAGCCGCCTCCACAGCATCTGCCACACAATCGCAGCAGGCACTCTCGGCGATCTTTTCGCCGCAGGCTTCCACCACCTTGCTGAACAGATCACGGTCCTCGGTCTTCATGATTGCCTCAATCTGGGTGCCCAGTACCTTGACATTGTACTTCTCAAAGACCCCCCGCTCGTGCAGCTTCACCGCACAGTTGAGAGCCGTTTGACCCCCAAATGCTGCAAAAATCCCGTCTGGCTTCTCACGCTCGATCACTTTGATGACGAAGTCAGGCGTTACAGGAAGAAAGTAAACCCTGTCTGCCATGCCAGCTGATGTTTGAACTGTAGCGATGTTCGGGTTGATGAGGATGGACATGATACCGGCCTCTTTCAAGGCTTTGATGGCCTGGCTGCCAGAGTAGTCAAACTCACCTGCCTGACCGATGGTGAGGCCACCAGATCCCAACACCAGCACCTTCCTGTAGACCGTCGGAATGGAGTACGGCATCGTGGTTACAGGGGAAGCGGTAGGCTCAGCAATGAACTGCAGGAAGTAGTCAAACAGAAAGTCAGTGTCGGTAGGCCCACCGCATGCCTCCGGATGGAACTGCACCGAGAACCATGGCCTGGAGGAGTGGATGATGCCTTCGTTTGTGCCGTCGTTGGCGTTCATCATCAGCGGCACCCAGTTCTCTGGCAAGCTGGAGCTGTCAACGGCATACCCATGATTCTGGGCTGTGATGTAGCACTTCTGTGTGCGCAGATCCACGACTGGCTGGTTCATTCCGCGGTTCCCGAACTTCATCTTGTAGGTGGATGCTCCCGCGGCCAAGGCCAGAATCTGATTCCTTAGCTTTGCTTCACCCCTGCCTACTCCAGGACCCTATAGAACCAGAGAACCCCCCATCAAATCCACAAATGAAATCATAAACTAAATCACGGAGGATAAGATTCCCGAGGCAGATTCCGAAGATGGGTGTCTTTGGCCGCTCCCTCATGATGGTCTTCACATGCTCCACGGTTTTGGCACATTGGGTGGGATCTCCTGGTCCGTTGCTTAGGAAGAGGCCATCGAAGCTGTCCTGTGTGAAATCGTAATCCCATGGCACCACAGTGACTCGAAGCCCGAGCTTGACCAGGCAGCGGATGATGTTGTTCTTCATACCACAATCCACGGCCAGGACATGCACATCTCGGTTCAAACGAGGATTTGGCTGCGAAGGCGCAAAGACTTCTTTTTGTGTTCTTGACACCTCTGCCACAAGATTCCTTTTGTTTGGATCGTCCACAGGAAGATGGGAACTCGGCGTGCTTCCCTGCACGATGAGCTTTCCCAACATGGAACCAATCTCTCGAATCTGCTTGGTCACGAGTCGAGTGTCCACAGCATAGATGCCTGGGACTCCTTGCGACTCGAGCCACTGTCCCAACGTCCTTACGCAGCTGTAGTGCGAAGGTTCGTAGGAGTAGTCGGAAATCACGACTCCCTTCAGATGGATCTTGTGACTTTCGAACCACTTGGGAAGTCCAAACTCATCCTTGTCATCAGAGGGCACGCCGTAGTTCCCAACCAGCGGATACGTGATGACCAGGATCTGTCCGGCGTAGGACGGATCCGTCAAGGACTCCGGGTATGCCACCATCCCTGTGTTGAAGACAACTTCACCGGACACAGAGACCGGAGCACCGAAGGAGTAGCCCTTGAGAACCGTGCCGTCGACCAACTCTAGGTTGCACTTCCTCCGTGCATTCAGCCACCGAAGGAAGTCCATGGGTTGACCCGACGTCGGCTTCGCATCCATGGCCTCGACACCCTCGAAGCCCACAAAATCCCAACCCATCTTTTCCGGACTTTCGGGCCAATCGCACATACAGCGCAGACTACAGGGAGCTTCTGAGAGCCAGAAGTTCTTCAGCCAGAATGGCTGCAAAGTAGATGTGGTTAGGATTCGTGCATAGTATTTGCGAAACCTACGGTGGCATCATCGCACTGTGCAGACGACGTATGGTGAGCTACTTGTAGCGTTTGCGCCAGTCTAGGCTTGCAGAAGATTGAATTGAGTGCTGAAGGGCTTCGCAAAAGGTTGAGGACGGATGCCAACTACAAGGTGCTGTAGCTTGTCTGTAGAGCTGTACAGTCACTACACGACATGACAAGCTAGACCCTGCGCACAACAAGAGTCAGCAAGTGCCTGCTGCTCGATGGCACTCATCATGTCTCCGCAGACGCTGCGGCAGCAAATCGCGTACAAACCATCCGTTCGCATGCAGTTGTTGTAGCCTCGGCTGCGAAGCTCTGGAGCAGCTCGCTGGCACAAATATTTCATCTTGGGCCAGCGCTTGTGATGTAGTTGGCCAAGATGACATGTGGCCGGTGGGGATCGGACTCGTCCAGGACCCCAGGTCTCCTTCCAAGGCAGCAGGAGATTGGTACGCCATCCTGCTAGTAACATCTAGAAGCTCCCCACCACGGTGCGTGCATTCAGAACCACAGCAAAAGCACTCGATGCCGCTGGATTGCTCAGGTAGTCTGGGCTCTCGGAGAAATTCCAGTGCCGGTACGCGATGCTCCCATAGAAGTCTGTCAAGGGTATGCGGCCTCGGGTCAAGCGGCCAAGCGGAACCCCGTCTTCGCATCATGGAAGCAAAGAAACAGTAGTAGGACTAGTTGTCGCCACCACCGAACAGCGGGCAGAAGGCATGACATTTTAAAACATGCGTCTGCTTGCGTGGAAGTGTGGCAATTGGCCTGTGGGCATATGTGGGCTGTATGTAAGTAGGCCGTGGCTATTACTAAATGCAATGCTGAAAATCCGATGCGAGTGCAACATGCACTGATCCCGAGCAGAATCCCCTATACGCTGGAGTCACCATACAGTTTGCACCCCCGTCCCCATTTATCCATGTCAGCATTCTTGCTTGAAGGTGTGGATCGCGCAAGTAAGAAGACTTGTCTATTGAAAAACATCGGTGGGGATCAACAATCTGCACAACTCCTGCGGCCTGTAATGCGGAAACCTCATCGTCAGGCATGAAGACTCCAACATTTGGGCAACTTTGTAAATGCCCGGACTTGGGGGACAGCGGTTTCCGCATTTCAGGCTTCGGAGGGTTTCGGAATTTGTGCATTGCTGGCAACCTATATCTATAATTATCTTTGTATACTAAACTATACAAGCATGCACATGTATACATAGATGTGCATTTATATATATAGAGAGAGAGAGAGATATATGTAAGTACGTATGCATGGGTATATATATATATCTATAGAGAGAGAGAGAGAGAGAGAGACGCACACAGAGATAGACTGCACACATCTATGACTGCAGTCATATCTGTGAGACACTTCGATGCCCAGCTTCCGGGCTTGCGGCTTCCTCCCTCCATGGACACGAGCCTTGCCTCGATACACTTGTGAACGACAGAGTGGACACTGCAAACAACATCACACTACTCTTGATACATCTTGATACGAATAACGGTTCGACGTCCAGAGAGACTTCGGACCTAGGACCGATACGAAATACATTGGCCGACTGCGAACACATGCACGCTGCGGGATCCCTGTGTGCCACAGCGAGGCTTCATGCCCCAAAAGCCATTCCCACAAAACGGCTGTTCTGGGACGTATGCCTACTTTGACCCGGAGCTACGGAGATCTACGGAGTCTTCCCGGGCGATGCCTTGAGATCGGAGCATTCCTGCAAAGCAGAAGGGGTTGAAGGGTGCGCAGGATCATGTCACAAGGGTGCTCGACTAGTTTATCCTCATACTATCTCATACTGATATCGTGATCGGTACGATGACGAAGGCTCTCCTTGTCGTTGAAGCTCGGGAACTCCAGCCCAAAAGCCTCTGCAACTTTGCTGATTGACGAGAAGTCATAGACCTTGCCCTGTTCCACCAGAATCCTGCGCAGGTTTCAGGCGTCCCTCGGGAATAGCTTTTGGCCGGGCTGGGATCGAGTCCGACAGCAGTCGCACAACCTGCTAGCTACTTCATCCCTGTTGGCACGGGAGACGAATCGGCAAGCCAGTTTGGAAATTCCGTGCCTGTCTTCCAAATGCCGTAGCCACCTCAGGGCCTCGCCGTGCTCCACTCTGCGATGCAGTCTGCTTACGCGCTTGCGATTCTTGGCCGGCTCTGCCAGGGTGAGGTTCTGTGCGGTCAAAACCACTAGCAGGTACATGTCCTCAGTCTCTTCAAAACTTATTGAACTGCTTCTGCACGGGTCGCACAAGCTCAGCAGAGCTGAGTGCTGGGCGACTGCCATATCGGCATCTGCGCGACTCAGCGGACCATTCCTTGCTGCACCGGCTCAGGTACGTACTTCATGCCCCATCCACTTGATTAGTCTATGTTTGATGCAAGAGAAACACGGGTTTGGCTTATCTTCCTGGACCAGTGTCAGCGGAAGGTCCAGCGACTCAAAGACCTTTGCCATCTGCTTCCGGGACTCCTCTGAATTCAGCAAGAGACGTCCATCCAACCTAACCCTTGAATGGAACATCCTAGATACACTCGGTGCTTCTCTCAACAGCGACACCATTGAATCAAATTTGCCTGAGCCGAAGCTGAAGTGTTAACCAAAGCGACTCCGCCTTTGGCAACTGCAGCTGGAAGCCAAGCTACAACTACAAAGGCGTCCTCGGAGGTTTCCCAAATGGGGCGATAAAAAGGGGTTAAGCAACCTTCCCAACACTCACACATCCACAGTAACGAGAACCTCCTGCCTGTTGCACAAGATCTTCAATGACGGCGGTCATCTCAACCAAATCGTCCAAGGATGCACCTCGGGAGGAAGAAGTCAAGGGATGAGTTTCGCCGGACTTTTTTTTCGACTGGGCCTTCGCTCTGCTTGGCCTCTTCGAAGCGCTGCTGCAGGTACGACGGAACCCAACTCTCCCAAACCTGCGCGCAGCTACGCGCATCCCTGCGTGAGAGACCGAACCTGACCTTCACATAGCGCGTGGGTCCTAAACCTTGTGCAGCGCTCCAACTTTACGGTTTGGTTTGGACCGAGGCTCTTTGCGGAGCCGCTCCGGCTGTGTCTGCCAAATGCCTCCAAGTCACAGACAGCGTAGACTAGTAGACGTTTGCAAGACATCTGGCTAGACATCTAGAGTCCAGAGATGCGACATTGAAGGGTCCAAGACTTCTCGGCCTTTGCAACTGTTTTATGGATTGAGGATTGAAGATCGCAGCAGGCGCTCTAGAATCGGCCTTCGGGTTCGAGGCCCTTGACCAGCCAGCTACGCTCGTGGAGGAAGAATCGGAAGAGTGCATATTTGGCTGCTTGGTGGCTGAGGCCACCATTCGGCGTCTTGGCGAGCGTCCGGAAAATCGGCTCCAAGTCGACACGAAGGTGCCGAAGTCGCGGGGTGGTCTTCGGATCATGGGTCATCTGCCGTGCCAGGAGGCTGTCCACATCTGTCCGATTGAAGTACTGAACATCAAGGAATCTGGCATGGGAAGCGCCGCGAATGGTCCCTTCTGCTGAGCCATGCGCCGCCGCCAAGCAGTAGAGAGCCACGTGAATTCCCACCACTGCCCTCGACATTCTGGTTCACCATGGAGACAAGTTGGCAAACATGGGGGTCACATGATCAGCTGACAGCGGCGGGTTCGCGAATCCAACATGTGCTACCCAACTAATTACCGTGTACAGTAAGTAGCCCATAACTCTCTGGGAAGGCAGCCTGTTTTGCCTCACAATTCATTTAACTCCGGGAACTCTGTAGAGACCATCCTGAGACACCGGCCTTGATCGATGGGCCTGCAGTGCGGAATCATAAAAACTGCAGTGATGTGACAGTGCTTTCAACTATCTTGCTTTCCCGATAGGTCCAGACCCGGAAGCCTATAACGAAGTCGGTAAGAGTTTGAGGCCTGCTGCCGGGCTGGCGGCCACGGCCTCGACAGGGCTACACTGGCATGGACTCAGGTGAGATGGGGGCTGACACAGATCAGCTTCTTGAAGTAACTCGGTGTGAATGCTGAAAATCATGCGCCGGCAGCTTTGCAGACTCCTCCTTCCCGTTTCTTGACCACCATCACGACTACGCTAATAGACATCAACATGTTGTAGTGGCGCTAGGAGAGAGCGGTGGCGGTAGCCATGACGGTGGGGGGAGCCGTGGCAGCAGTAGCGGTAGCAGGAGGGAGTAGTAGCAGTAGCAGTTTTTGTCACCCACTTGGCACGACTGTGTCAGCACTGCGGGGCTGCCAATATCACGAGGCATACAGAATCGACCTGTCCCCCAAAGCCAACAAAACGCCCCGGTCCAACTAATAGTAATAGTAGCAGCAGTAGCAGTAGCAGTAGCAGTAGCAGTAGCAGTAGCAGCAGCAGTAGCAGTAGCAGTAGCAGTAGCAGTAGCACTAGAAGCAGCAGTAGCAGCAACGGGAGCGGGAGCAGGAGCAGGAGTGGGGGTGGGAGTGGGAGTGGGAGTGGCAGTCGGAGTAGAAATATAAGACATCAAGGATTAGGAGTAGTGGTAGTAGTGGTCGTCGTCGTAGTAGCAGAAGGAAGGGAGAGGGAGAAGGAGAAGCATCAGTAGTAGCAGCAGCATGATGATCTTTTCGAATTTCGTGTACCAACCATTTCATTTCATGTCCTCTTCTTGTACAGGTACAGTGTGGGGCATGCGATCTGAGGACTTCCGTCCAGGTCTCCTGCATGCTTGGTCCTATCGGGACGGTGCAGGCATGCTCAAGTTATCGTCATCCTTTACGAGGATGTAAAACACATCGCTGCCGATGGCAGCCGGGCTACATAGCTTGATCGCTGGCACGCGAGGCGAACCTCGGATGTTTCGTCGCGATGGGAAGGAAGGAGGGTAGTAGTAGTAGTAGTAGTAGTAGTAGTAGTAGTAAGTGCTAGTAGCAGGAGCTGCAGTAGCCGTAGCAGCGTGGCGTTGGCAGCAGTAGGGGTAGTAATCTCATGAGTAGTGATAGTAGTCGTCGTCGTAGTGGCCTACAGGAGAAAGAAGATGGATGTCAAAAGGCAACACAAAGCGCACAGTCACGGAGACATTAAAGGAAGCTGAAACTGCAGGTGATAACAAGAGAGGCATGCTGGGCATCACGTCGCACCTGGCCCCGGGCGACGATCTCACCGAAGGGTGGGGCATGGCCATGGGCGGTGGTGGCTGCACTGGCCTCAGCTGTGGGCGGCTGGTTGCATGTTATGTGCTTGCAAACGGTATGGATATCACCGATGTCGGTGTCTGACGTGCTTGCTGTCTGGAGAAGCAGCATCAACACAAGAAGTCTTGTCGAAATGCCTGAAAATACAGCCCGGCCTCCAGTGTTCCTCTGAGCGTGTACCACGAGGCCTGAAATAGTCTGCAGAGAAAACCGGCAAGCGGCCAGATCACTGTGCTCCGTATTCAGAGAGCTCGTGATCAAACATCATTACGAGAATCCTTCAGTTTTCGCTTGCAGCCGTAAAACCTGGTATTGTCACACGTTGAAATGGTGAAACCGTTGAACGCATCGGTTAGGGTGAGGTCAACTCAGTCATTACCGACAAGCGCTTGCCCATATACCGAACATACTCTGAAATCTGAAAGCAAAGCAACAAAAACAGTAGCTGCACCCCCCAAACCCCGTCTACAGGTGCGCAAGTAACACCGCGTTCTCGGGTCACAAAAGCCGTACCAGAATTAGGTCTGGGAGCCCCGGAGCACATTGCGTGAGTATGACGTCTTAGGACAATGAGATGGGAGCCTCCAATTAGGTTTCAGTGGTTCTGCGTTCGGCCAATTTTCCGCTCCTGCATGCTTATCACGCTTCTCAGCGTACAACTCTCAGCAGACATCCCGAATGCAACGACGCCCCCAAAGTGCTTACTGCCGCGCTCGGAGGCAAAACATGATGACTTTAGTAACTGGGGGTATGATGCAGGCGCCCCAAGTACTGCTGCTTGCAAAGACTGCGGTAACGACTTCTTCCAGAAGCGCGATCAAACTGCAGCAGGAATTCCGAGCTCTGCACTGCGGATATTTGGCCAAGCTGGCGGCTACGAAGGCTGACGGATTGCGAACCTTTGCAGGTCACAGCGGATCAGGTCAAGCGACAGAGTGCGAGGAGATGCTGGCGCTACTGCGGAATGCGCAAGGGTATGTCTCTTGCACTACTCCGCCCGACCCAGAATTCCAATGGTACGGGGCTTTGGCATCGCCCTTTTTGATGATGTCCTCCTTGGTGGGATCATGGATGCCACGCATGATGGTTGTCTTTCGATCTGCCTGGATCTTTCCGCCTACATGTGGATGTTCGGCATACCATCTTTTGTACTAGCACGGCTTCGGTTTGTACCCCGCTCTTCTTCTAGGGATGCCCCTGCTTCTACTGCAACTGCAACTACTCCGAGTCCTAGTCCTAGTCCTCCTACTGAGTACTACTGCTACTGCTACTGCTATTGCTACAGCTACTGCTACTACTGTTGCTTCTACCTCCATTGCTACTACTGCTTCTACTTCCACCACCTACTACTACTACTACTACTACTACTTGCTACTACCTAAGACCTAAGATCTACTAGCTGCGGTCGACCACCTACCACCTACCACCTACCACCTACTACTTACCACTACTTGCTGATTACTACTTACTAGGCACTACGTCACTACGTACTACCTGTACTACATTCTACTTACTATTTGCTACCGGCTATACTACGACTACTGCTGCTCCTGCTTCTGCCAACTCGTCGTCCCTCTCCTCCTACTCGTCCTTCTCCTCCTACTCCGACTGTGACCGCTGCTCCTTGTTCTTATGCTTTTCCTGCCTTTGCTAGTGGCACTACTGCAAAACACGACGGCAACGACGACAAACGTGCTGATCCGACACCCCCATGACGACCATCATGATGGCGGGTCTCTCTTGCATGACCGCTGTCGCGACACCGACGGGCCGCCGCCACAAGCAACAGAAACTGTAAGCCACTTGGTGTAAGGAGCGTGCAACCACCTCCAAAGCTCGCTCTGGATCGCATGCCTCCAACCAACTCAGCTGGACTTTGACCCACTTGCATAAACAAAAAAATCCAAGGGTCTCAACCAATTACTTACTTTTTGGAGCAGGGCTCTTCCAACCCTGAGCTCATGTCAGGACAGGAAGGCCTAAGAACAAAGCGGTGACATGTGAATACCAAGTTCGGGGAATCACACTACATTCGCTGCACATGCCGTGATCTGTAAGCATGCTGCGGAAAAGACGTTGCACCTCACCTAAGGGTTCCTGCAAATCTACGTCTGTCACGAGAAATTGGACCGCGAAGACCCGCTCCAACATCAACTTGTGAGGAATGGTCCATAGTATCGTGCTGTGTCAGCATGTAGCCTGACAGCTACAAGTTTGATGCTCCTATTGGAACCTGTATGAGCCACCACTCAGCCACACAGGGCAGTAAGTAGCCATGGAACACCATGTCCGAGGGTTCGCCGCAGAGACCGCACATACTTTTGGAGGTATAGTTTAGTGTCAACCGTCGTATCGACCAGCTTTTGCCCACTGTAGTGCATGGGGCGCGGTAAACGAGGTTGGGGTCCGTCGAACCATGACGCTTACGTGGACAAGATGCGGACTAGTGGAACACCCCTGCGATGCCACTTGAACCCGAGAGGGGTGCAGGGTGTTCTGGAGCTAGGCTGGAGCTCCAAGCCAGCACCAGCCCGACACAGCACCAAACAGCCACCTTGATGAAGTTTCAGTGGCTGGCTGAAGTGGTGCAATCCGAAGATCCAGTGCTGCCCCAGGTTGGGATTGACGTTGACTATATGTCTGTCTGCATGTACGTATGCATGCATGCATGCATTCGTGAACGTGTATGTATGTATACGTGAATGTATTCACATATGTATGTATGTATATATATATATATACACATACACATATAACTATCTCTAAGTGATGGCGCCGTAGGTCCCGATAAAGCTGCAGCAAAAACATCATGGCACCGAAGCTTAGATGCATCAGCGAGGCGCAAGCGAATGTCCTTCAAACAACTATGGGAAAAGGGCCACAGCCTCCAAGGCGTGCATCGCTCCATCGTCAAGTGCTTCTCGGAGCCCAGGATCTGAGCTCAACCTGGGACTTCTAAAATCCGCGAGTACACAGATTTCTTTAAATCATGTCTTGTGAAACTCCCACATAATTATTAACACTGAGCGTGGAACCATGGTCGGATAAGACTTGAGACAAGGGTAGGTACTGTACGCATACGAGGGACCGTGCTGCATGGCATTCTTTCCTTCACTTGGCGGATGGTGGCACACGGGACGGAGATCTAACCAGTATGGGACCTTTTTCTTTGCATAGTGCCCCTTCGCATGCCCCACAAGATCTTCGTTGAGTTTGGGTCCTGCGAGTCCTGGGTAACCCACCGTGGCTCGCACGGCCGCGAGCGCCACTGCCCGAACAGTATTGCACCAGTTAGTTCCGAGTATCAAGACTTGACGGAATGTTTGACGTCTATGCAGCAAACAAGCTTACAGAACTCCACGAAAAACAGGGGTCTGAGGCGAAACTAGTGGCTTCATTGCAGAGTGAATGGTTCTACACGAAAAGTAGCCACTCTGTGTCGTCTGCAGCAGTCGCATGCCGAGTGCTTGCAGCCTCTGGCAAGCTGCCCAACTACTACAAAGTGCCGTATCACCGGTGGAGGCTTTTCTTCGTAAGTGTCCGGCAGCTGATGGAGCGGACTTTCCTCCTGCCGCCTGAAAGGGGCCACTCATGCAGCCTCTCGCTTCCATGCTCAAAAATGTTAGTCCGATGCTTTGAGAATCAACTAAGACCAATGACGCATACTGGGGCCCTGGGATGGGACGCATGATTTAGTGAGCAGGTCACACGCTTCCCTTTGGAACCACTTACACCAGCGTGGCTTCTCGGAGATTCGACATTCCAGAGACATGATGCTGTCGTGCTTCCAAGGTGCATCCACGAGTTGCCCATCTTCTGCATCTCCGGTTCCGGAGTCCTCTTTCACGTGCAATCTGTGCACTGAGGTTGACCATCCCAGTATTCAGAACTGCGGATTTTTCCCCGCAGAAACTCTCATTCTCACGAATCAGCAAACAATCATCAAACACCCCAGCCGACAAACGAAAACCCAGGTCTTCTGCCACAGGCATTGTTGCAAGGAGGAAGGAGCGGCATTCACCATCACCCCACGCTCAAGCCGGAGCCGTCAAATCACGAGCATACCCAAGGATGTAAGTGCCCAGCTGCCGATGGGGGACGTTGGCATCGTGACGCCTCAGAGCATGACGTCCTGTGGGTCTTGTGAGGTTGAGGGCATGGGCAGCCGTGTGATCAAGCAACCTGAACATGCCGCAACGTGCCCCTGAACATATCCCCACAGGTGTGAATGTCCCGCTGGTCGCATAAGAAATCAATGTGTCCCTCGACTCTGGTGCAAGTTGCCGGTCTCACGCAGCCTTCTGCCCCCGTACACTTGCTAACACCAAACTCTAAACGAGGCTGCTGCGGCGCAGGGAAGGAGGACAACGCCTGTGCAAAAGACTGCATGCACGAAAAAGATAGGAATCCGGATCTTTCATCAAGTTGTCGTGGCTGCCGTTTGCAACTGCTGCAGCACTGACAGATTGATCGCTTCAGGTGGCTTGCCTTGACTATGAATGCAGAGGGGTTGCGCACATCACCTTTGCTGTCCATATCCTGCACAGACAGCTTGCACCAGTTTTGGGCATCTCCAACTATATGTTGGGGAATGACTGTGCAAATAGGAACGCTTGGCTTCCGGAAGTCCTGCAGAATCTCTTCCACCCGCGCTGGGTCCTCATTGCAGAAGTGTGCGCAAGGCAGGGTGTGTCAAATCGGTCCGCTATTGCCACTCACTCAGGTGTTACACAGATGCCGCTGCTGAAGCGGTCAGGAGCTGGCCAGTCGGCGAGGCAAACGATGCAAGGCTGTGGGGCATCGGGGGCATTCTGGCACACGGCGAAGAACAACAAACACAAATAAACTCTGAGATCGGAACAGAGTCAGCCAGCTTCATTAGGGCCTGGGCGGAACAACCGTTAGCATGTCTAGCAACAAGTCGTCAACTCCTCCGATTGGTGCAACATTTGCGCAGAAGCTCGCTGCATCTTGCAAAGAAAACCATGTCAATGTGGCAGCAAATGCACCCACCTGGCCATCCAAGCGCCCACGAATGGCCGGATATCTCAGAAGAATCCGGTCTACCTGCAGAACTGGCAGACCAGACATCAAGACATGGACCAAAGGCAGGATAACTTGGTCAACAAAAACACTCGTTGCAAGTATAGCAGGCCTCCCCATCCTGGTCATCGTACATCGGAGCCACAGCATGCCTGTTCTACGGAAGTCCCAAGTCCACAGATGCCACGAAGGCGCAGCCGGTTCAATACCCGTGGGCCAGACCGAGCAATGTATGCTACCAGTGCAACATTGTTAGGACCTCCAAATGAGAGGAGCCCGATCGCCAAAGTCTGGTAAGTTGACAACCTCTCTCATGATGTTCTGGTGTACTTGCCTCAATGCTTGCACGACAAACGCCGAGCAATTTCGCACCTCGGTGAGGCAGCGCGTCTGAGAGGCAGCCGTGCCACATGAATCTTTGTTGGGACTACGGCATCCGGTCGCTGCGCCAGCTCTTCGATGACATCGGCTGCTCGAGCGAAATCTGCCTGCAAGCGACGCAAATATTCGTTTGGGCTTTCACATGTTGTGCAGCTGCGCTTTTGGAGGCGATTGAATGCACGACGGGCTGCTGCAAGAGCGGGTTACAACCGATTGCAGCTATGCACATGAAGCAGCCACACTGCGTCGGCTTCGCTCTGCTCTTTCGTGCAGCTGGCACAGCTGCGCTGTCGTGACGGTGATGTCTGGCTGATCTTCTAGCGATAAGCCGCACCGCAACAAGAACTGTCAAGAACTTCGCAGCCGGCTGAAGCCATAAGGGTGCCACCGCCCTGCGTCACACCTTCCCCCGCCCAAGTTGTGCCCCAAAGCCCAGGGCCTCTTCCAAACGTTGCAAGGCGGTTGCATCGAGTGCCTTGCGCCGGGGACGCGCACAGATATCTCCGGCAAGCGTGGAAAAAATATATACATACATACATATACATAGGCCCGGGCCTGCTGCAAACCGGGGTGGCTGTCGAGCACGTCGTAGATCGTCCTCGAAGCAGCTCTTACACTTCGCTCCGAGCCTATCATTAAGCATGTCACCGTCGTGCTTCCAAGGCACATCTGTGAATCGCCCACATTCTGCATCTCCAGTTCCGGCAACCTTTTGTTTCACAGAGGGTCTATTCACCACCCAAAACTAGAATGGGTGCATTTCCGGTTATAAGTTATCAGTTGTCAACCCCAGAGTAACAGCCTCAGTTCGGTGTTTACTACTCACCGCCCATTCCCAAGCCCGAGCCATCAAATCAAAAGCATGCCCATCGCTGTAAGTACCCAGCGGCCGATGAGAGAGATTGGCATCGTGGCGCCTTGTCTTCAAGCATGCCACATAGCCAAATTCACTGGCCAAATTGGTTAGCGGTCGCACAAAATCCCTCAGCTGGTCGGATAAGAAATCAACGTGTCCGACGAATCTGGTGCAAGTTGCTGGTCTCGCGCAGCCTTCTGCCCCAGTACACCTGCTAACACCAAACTCTAAACGAGGCTGCTGCGGCGTAGGGAAGGAGGACAACGCCTGCACAAAAGACTGCATGCACGACAAAAGCTAGGAATCTGCATCTTTCTTCAAGTTGTCGTGGCTGCCGTTTGCAACTGCTGCAGCACTGACAGATTGAGCGCTTCAGGTGGCTTGCCTTGACTATGAATGCGGAGGGGTTGCGCACATCACCTTTGCTGTCCATATCCTGCCAGTTTTGGGCATCTCCAACTACATGTGGGGGAATGACTGGCAATGGGAACGCTTGGCTTCCGGAAGTCCTGCAGAATCTCTTCCACCCGTGCTGGGTCCTGTTAGCACAAGTGCTTGCAAACTCGTCGCGAGGCTGCTAAGTCAACAGGCTGTTTATTCGGTGTCGCCAGTGCTCATGCAAGCTGCAGCAGTTGGAAGTAAGCGAGCATCAGCTGGGATTGGGACGGCATCGGACAGCTTCATGAGGGCCTTAGCACTTCACTTCAGAAATTTGCTGACATCTTATCTGTCTGTGCAAGATCAGATGTAGCCTCCTCTGGTGTCAAGCAGCGTATCAATGCAAAGCCACACTTTTGTGGATCCGTAAGCTCGCTTTGCTGCAACTGTAACAGCTTGCAGACTGGTACCTGAAGCCTCAGCAGATGATCCCCTCGGGCCTGACTGTCCAAGCGCTCACGGATATGAGGATATGCCTGAAGGAGCCGGTCTACCTGCCCACCAGACAGGAAGATGAGGCACGAGTACATGAGCAGCACAAGCTGATACTGTTGCAACAAGCGATCCTCCCCTTCTTGCTCATCGTGCGCCGGAGTGGACCTGCGATGGTACCACACTCATTCTTCAGGAATGCAGACGTCGACTACATCGATCGCATGCACCCGTGCTATCGACTCGTTTGCTCACTCATACACACTTCGAAAGCTGAACTGCGAGGATAGTATCGGATAGCCATGAATGCCGTGGGCTCGATGCAGAAGATGCAGAAGCATAACATAGCAAACGATGAAACGATGAAGTCTTGCATGTTAGTTTCGCATCGCTCACCAATAAAATGGACCAAGACATTGCCAAAGTCTGCTTAAAGTCGATGCATCAGCTGGGGCCACTTCCAGGGTGGGGTTGCTGGACGAGACATGACGAGACCCTGGTACAACTGTGCAACGGTCGGGCCGGGCAGCACTTTTCACTTTTAATCGGGCTCTAGGGAATGCTGTTTGCCTGGCCACCACCAGAACACCTAAAGTCTGTCCAGCTGCACAATGCCAGCGACAACGATTGTTGATTGATTGCGCTCGCGTGGCTTTGCATGATAAAGAAGACTATGAAGGTTCATTTAGCTCAGCAGCAGCAGAGATAAAGCTCAACTTGCAGGCAGGACATGATGACAACGGCACAGAAGCTCTAGCTTTTGACAAAGGTCGCAGGATTTTCGCACTGCGACAACCGATCGGACCTTCCGAGCACGTGCACGATGAACGCTGACGGATTTCGGACCTCAACCAGGGGCGGTTAAGAGCATGGGGCTGATGCATCAATGCTTGAAGGGAACGCAGTCTGGGCTTCTCATGGCTTGGGTTGTTTGGGTGCTTCAGCAGGTCGTCAAGGGATCTGGATTGAGCATGTCTTCCGGGCGGGCGAAAGAAAGCAGCATTTGCAACATTGCCCGCTTGCATGCGATGTAGCACGACTGCATACGCAGCGACCGCCCATCCGAAAGTTGAGAATAGATCCCTACAGCGAATCAGAACGCACCTTCGCCTTGCTGGGTGCTTTACGCCCCGCCGCTGTGCTAGGTCGTCGAGGAGGTCCGCTGCCCGAGCAATGTCCACCTACAAACGGCTCCGGTTCGTCACAATTGGAAGTGTCTTTCATGTCACATATGAAGATACGTTGTTATGGGATTTGGGCTGGTGTCCTTCGGGTCCCCATGTTTGCGCTAGACGGAGTTCGCCGCGAAGCTCGTTGTCCTTTGCCTGCAAGTTTTCATTCAAGCTGGAGCCAGGGACATTTTTTCAGATACCAGGCTGTGATGATCGAGCCGTTTTGGGGTTACGCGGTTGAAAAAAATTGGGACAAGGCCCCAGCATGCATTTCTGGTAGGTACGGCAGTAAATTTACGGAAGAGAATGCTTTAAATCTAGATATCTTTAGACTGCATTTCGATCGTAGCAGCTTTGCATGCAACCGTTTTATGCGCACCGCACATGTCATGCTGGACCACATTGCTTGGGCTCTGCGGCGGCCTCGCTTAACTTCCACGATCAAAAGGTGTTCCTGCCCCAGGCAGTATAAAAATACATAAAACAAAATAATATAATATAAAGTAGTATAATATAACATACTGTAATATAGTATAATATAGCGCCTCCTCCAAGCGCCGCAAGGCGACTGCGTCCAGTGCCTGGCGGGCAAGCGCAAAGCAGGTCGAGACGATCATGACTGCCAGATTTCGAACTCGCCCGGCCTGTTCCAAACCAGGGTGTCTTTGAAGCACCTCGTAGATACTCCTGGAAGCGATTAAGCATCACCTTACTCCTTGCGGTTGCTGACACTTACAGATTTTGACATTTTGCTTTGTTATCGTTGCAGATCCGGGGACCGAAGCACTTCAAAAAACTTCAATGCCAATCTCATGTCAATCCAGCACCAGCCTGGGCGCAGCTGAAATCAAGTTGGCATTTTGCTGCCGTAGATGTGGGCGCAGCATAGGGTACTGGCAGGCAACACTCTCGAGAAGGCTTCTGCGCGCGGGTCAGCATGCAGACTGGACCTTCGCGATCGTCGAGGACACAAATGCCGATGGGTTCCGAACCTGCGAACTTGACTGTCTGGAGGAAACGGCGAACAATACGAACGAATGAACCGCTGCCGGACGCATGGGTTTTTAGATTCCGAGTTGGATTTGCACACCGTGCCACTGCGCACTTCCTTGTGCTGCCCTGCGCCACTATGGCACGCTGAGCCTCATCTTTGGACCTGTCAAAGTGGCTAGGAACCTGGCATCCGACTTTGAGGCAAGCTCATCAATCACCTTGATTCACCGACATCCGTGCTCCTGTGACAAAGCAAGAGAAGTGAATAAAGCTCAGGCTCCGGCCTGGGCAGCTCGTTCTGGATTTGCCCGGGTGAGTGCTTGGAGAGCTCCCTGCAAAGTCTGAGGCTCTCGAGCCCCTTTGTTTCTGCTACGTGTAAAAAACTGCAGGTGGCCGTTTCCCATCTTTCTCCGGCACAGAGCTTCCACAAGTCTCGGGACACTCTTGCAGCAGCCAGGGCGCCTAATGCTGTGCTGCTGTGACCTGGAGAGAACCAGCCGCCGGCTCTCATGACGGTTGCCCTCAACGTGCAGCAAGGTAGGCATCGAAGTCGACCGCTGCAGGTAGAAGTTGCAGGCTGCGAGGAGGGTCCGGGCCACCGTTTGTCGAACGTGTTGAGGTTGATCGAAGCATCTCATAGTTCGACTTGCGGGGGGTCCTCGTCGTCATATGAGCTCAACCACAACAGTCAGCAAGTGAGACAACTCGATATGCGCACATGCTCTGCACTTAGAGACTGTCTTACTCGGTGACTTCGTCTCCGATGCCTCTGCATCCTCGTCGGAGACGTCCTCCTCCTTTTTCGGCTTGTCCTGCCAAGCCGAAAAAGAATCAACATCTTGTCGCATGTTTCTGCTATCATGCTAGGCACGACCCACTCGATCGGCAAGTATGGGCTCCGGATCCAATGGAGAAAATCGGCCAGCACGCCAAGCCATGTCGCACCTCAGACTTGTCTGTATACGGCTGGCTCTGCTTCTCCCTTTTAGTCCACATGCTACGGTCGCAAAGAGGCTGTCGTTGCGCTCGGTCAAAGCTTGAATGCGGACTGTACCAGGAAGCCCCTGCTGGGAGACCGGCAGAAGCAATTTTACAAGCTTTTGAACTTTTGAACTCGTTGAACCAGAACACATCTGAAAACCCAAGGCAGGCCAGGCACCATTCGCGCAGAGTCACCTCAAGGCCACGACGTGTGCCCATGAGTGCTGCTCACGGCATAGAGGAGGAGGAGGAGGGAGAGGGGGATGGCAATAGATGGGGGCACGTTTTGTCACACCATTGCCTCGGTGTTCATCGGCAGCTTAGCCTGCTGGGCTATGCGGTGGATCATCTGCTCTCCTTGCTGGAAGACAGCCTGGTACATCTCCTTCAGGGTGGCAATATGGAAAAGCTGTGGAGGATACTCGAGTTAAGTTCGATTGATGCACTGTCTTTGTGGAGGAATGGCCGCCCTCGCGCACTCCCATGAGGGCTGCCGCGGTCCTCATCCTTCTTGGCGTCGGCCGCCGAGCTGTCCTTCAACTCACCGAACATCTGGCCCAGGTGTCCACTCAGTTCCTGCTTCATCCTCTCTTTCTTTGAGAGCTTTCGGCCAGAAGCTTGGCCCGGCTTCCCCTTGCTTTCTTTTGCCCTCTTCTCTGCCTCCTCCCGTGCTGTCTTGGCTACGATCCGGTCGGCAATGATCTTCGTCATCTCCTCTAACCTCCTGGAAAGCGGGCAGCCCTCAGCCCTTACACTTGACACTTTTACACCCTCTATATCGGGGGCATGCAGGCAAACATGCTATGCATGTGAGCCTGACTGCCTGCACAAGCATGCTTCAGCGCACAAGGGGCCACGAAAGTCTCAACACCCAGGGCAACCGCCGTTTCACGAATCGCAGTACGGTTTCGCAAACACTCGAGGCTTGGAGGATCTTGGAGGCATGGGCTTCAAGGCTTGAGGCTGGTGTTGTGCCATTTCGTCGGGTTAGAAGCAGCCTCGCCCGCCAGAAGTTTCCCGTAACGCTTGTCCAGAATCTTACAACCCTGGCTTTCGTTTGGGGGCCGAGATATGAAGCATTAATGCCGGAAGTGAACATACACGGAAATTGGAGAGTCCGAGGTGTAGTCAAAGTTTGAGCTTCAGTGAGTAACTCTTGTGTCGCTGTCCTGGTTCTCTGCTTTCCCTTGGCATCCGTGAACATGGCCAGGTTGTCCTTTGTACACTTGGTGACATCAGTTCGCCACACATCCTGCCAGTTCCTGACTGATGGCAGCATGTTTGCAAAGCAACTTCAGGTTAAGTCTTGGTGCGCTCTTGGTCTCGGAGTATGTTTAAACACACAAAAGCCTCGGCGGTGCTGAAAGGATCGCTCGCTGCCAAGATGCGCTTTGATGGGTATGCCGTCGCCCGCACTCGCCAGCGTCAGCAAAACAGGCAAAGCAAGCTGCGCAAGGGCGCCGTGCGCAAAGCACGCACGAACCATCCCTGTAAGGCTTGTATTGTTAATTGGGCTTAAGCTGCAGGCGCAGACTAGAGACTACAGGTGCGTGCCAGAAGTCTTCCCCACCAACTGCAACCAAGTCAGGTGCAGGTCTAATTGCCTCGCGACACCTCTCCCCCGAAATGGCTCGCGAATTTGCACATAGGCGTTCAGTGCTGCCGCTGAGCCAGGCGTCATAGGACAAACAAGTGCGGTTGCTTAGCTCTTTCTTTCCGAAGGCCGAAGGCTAGCCCAGTCACCTAGTCGTTTGCCTGCTGGCATGGGCTCTAACGTCTTTTCGCAGAAGGATAATAATAGTAATACTACTTTATATACTATACTATAGGATACTATATAATCAATGTTATGATTCTATAATACAGTAAATGCACTGATACGGGGCACTGAGGCACCTCATCCAAAGATTCTCGTAGCCCAGGCTTCTGCCGAAATGCCTCGGACAAGGTCTCACAGTGCTCTCACTTGGCTGCCGAACGCTGCCTCCTAATATATACTATATATTATACGTGATATATCATATATACACAAGTCACCACACCGTCTGCGCCCAGTGGCACGCTCCACCTCTGGAGGAAGCAGGGCGGCAGACATAGCATAGACAAGGAGTTTCTTCACTGAGGACTATGGAATGAGCTTGGGGAAGTTGTCACTTGGTGCCAGATACTGGCGGCTATCCGAAGTTGAGCTGGCTTGGTGCTGCAACAGCTGCAAACTGCCTTGCTGCGACGTATGGGCCAGGCACAACGCTGGTTGACTTCTCTGTTTACAAAACGTGATGTAAGAATTCCCTCACGCATTTACCATGGATTTACTCGTGGACTGCATGGCTGCTGGGACGTGCCATCCTGCAGCATGTATTGCTTGCGGCCGCATGGCTCCAACGTGCAGAAAGGGAGGCAATGCATTTTTGAATCTCTGGTTTCGACCGTGCAGTGCTGCAGCTGCCAGGTGGGCTAGCAGACATGCCAGAAATCACTCGAGCTGCGCACACCAGTCATGACGAGAAGAGCGATCTCTTTTCACTGCCATCACAGCTGTCAGCGAGACAACTCGGACACCTGTTGCAGTCCGAACCCCTTCATGTTTCATTGTTTTCCCTCCTCCTATTACTTTTCCTTTTATAAAGTATGTACAATGACGGCCAGGCTGAATGCTCGATGTTCGTCACGAGCTGGGAAGCACCACAGAAAGGGATCCATCCTTGTTGCGGCAGGCCCCACGACCCTGAAATACTAATATCTACTAATCATAATGCTCATAGCAATAATAAAGGCATTTAAAAGAATAACACAAGTAAACAATGATAAGACTAAGTATTGTTATGATAATGAACACGAATAAACAATGATAATACTAACTATTGTTATGATCATGATAAGAACAACAATAATAAGGAATAACAGCAACTGGCCTGACAGACTTACTATGAAGCAGCTGATCTCTACTGAGCCACAGTTGGAGAGACAGCGTGGAATCTGATCCAACTCGGCACTGCGTCTTTGTAATACTGTTTCTTCCAAAGGCGGGTCCCATGTAATGTGGATTCCCGGAAGGCAAGCAAATCATCTGACCCAACGTCGCATGGCACCTATTAAGGCCCCGAACCAGACCCCAAACCCAAAACCGTAAGGACCTGGCGTCCGCTTCAACGACCTGTCAAGCCAACGCAGGAACCGTCTACGATCTCCTGTGACAGTACTGGGACAAGCCGGGCAAGGTCTCATACGACGATCTGATAAGTGAAAGGGAATGCTTCGGCCGTCGTCAACTGTTTGGGGGCCAGTGGAACTGGTTTTTTGAGTTTACCAGTCTAGATGTCGCCGTCCAGCAGCATGCCATAGCTTGCCCTTCACACATCATGTACTGGCATTTGTCGTCTGGGCCTGTTTGCTTCTTGAACCATGCGACGCGTTCTTTCCACCGGGGCAAAACATACAATCGCACCATCTCCTGGTGTTCAGAAGACAGCACCAGCAAAAACACTGAAATGACCCTGACCATTCATACCAATGACCTGGCGGCAAAATGCGCTAAAGTAACTTCACTATCAGCCTGATCGCAGATTTCTGAAAGCACATGCTATGTCGTGACATTGGCCATGCATTCTCTGCAAGTTGTAAGTGGAACACCAACATACAGCAATCAAACCATCGCCGCTTTGTCCTCATGGACTCATGGCCTCGTAAGCTTGCAGATTCTTTTTCTCGCCGCCCACATTGGACCTGAAGCTTTGTCTGGCTCTCTAGGGCCAGACCCCCAGTGAAGCTTGAGCAGGTACGAGCCATCTGGATCTGGTCTCTTATTGAACTCCCTCTGAGAGCGATACTATGCCATGCTCTATTGTCGGAAGACAGAGAGCATGGGCATGGAAGTTGCCTTTTGGGACTTGTTGGGTCCCTGGGCATGCAATGTGAAGATTCGGCACGTGCGGCTCGAGAATTGCTGTCGGTGTAGCGGCCTGAGCAAGCATCCAGCCGAGATTCCAGCATTACCCCGGCGATGAAATCATTTTCGAAGCCCAGGGCACCAGTGACCCACCTGCGCTTACTGCAGCTGACGGTCTGGGACACGGTGCGGGATGAAGAAACTTTCTTGCACAAGACGACTGCGATCGGCTTTGCCTAGCTGATCTGCACCACAAGTCACAGGAATTGAGGGCGATTTCCAACGTGACTAAACCTGGGTATCTAACAGTGCAATAACCACACGCTCGCAGCTGCGAAACTCGCTGAACCAAACGATGTGCAGTGGTGAGAGGTGTGCCACGATCGCTTCATCCTGCCTGTGCATATACCGTATGATACGAAATCAGTGTCGCCGATGGCTTCACACTATGTCTCAACACCGGACAGCCTTGTGCACAAGCCGTCCTTCATGTTAAACCTGGCACGCACAGGAGGATCTGCCTGTGAAGAACTTACGTTATCGAAAGTGCTTCTGCAGCTCATACCAAGCAACATGACACATTTCAACACTCCACTGGCACTTGAGCAATTGAGACCGAGGCTGCGAGTTGTGGAAGTTGCAGGTGAGCCTCGGACCATCCGGCCTGACCACGACGGCACACTGCTTGCGAGTAAGAGGTGACAACTCTCTGTCTCATCACTGACTTCGGTGCAGTTTCAGGGAACTTCGAAGATGGCGGCAGGCTAACGGGGGCAAAAGGGGTCATTGCAGTCGTGTCCATTCACGCGTGCACAAGGCAAAGACATGTCTAGAGCTCGCTGGGATTGTGCTTTCAGGCTTTGGGAACAGGGCCAGCGCACTGCCCAAATGCACCCTTTTTGAGCTAAGCTGCCCATTTTCGATCTTGCCCTTTTTCATAGGCAGGTTGAGATGAGGACACTTTGCATCCACCTGGCGCGAAGAAAAAGGCTCAGCATGGCTCAGCTCCTCCCCCTCGAAAAAGCAGAAGACTTCTGCTCAGGGTTTTTGGGAGCAACAGCGAGTCTGCTCCACGGTGCCGCTGCATGCTTCTTCAACGCCATATGTCTATACTGTCCAGACAAGCCACGGCGTAGTACTTGCCGTCGATTTTTGCCACGACCTCACCACTCAACGAACCATCAAGCAGAATGGGCGATCTGCCTCGTGTGACGAGCCGCGATCGGCCCGTCGCTGCCATCAACGACGACTCGGTCACCTGTCCACAACTTGTCAAAGTTATGGCAGGCATAAGTAGGGTCTCAGTATCTCAAGGACTGATAGCGACTCAGACTTGTACCTCAGTTCCGAGGACAGTCACAAGTAGCCGTGAGAGCAGGAGACTCAGCAGCATGTTGAACAATGATACATAGCAAAACTACCCTAGTTCCAAGAAGAGGATCGTTTCATCGCAGTACTCTCACTACTGGTATTGTCTCCTGCATCGCACATTGGAAAATGGAATGTCCGCTCTTGTTGTAAACCACATACTGTCCCACCTAAGGAAACCCCACGCTCTGCCTGCTCATAGGAATGTGTTTGGCTACGGTCCTGTTCCACGGTTCTATGAGGCAAGGCTCAGGCCTTCGGCTGGTGGTTCTTTGACTTGCGCACAGACAGCATGAAGGGAAGTGCGGGGGCTGCGTGCTCGGCTGCGGAAGCCAGCAAAGTCAAGGGACCTGACGTCTCTCATCGAGAATTCGAAAGCACTGATATCGTGTTCGCTCGCTGGCTCTCATGGACTATCTCTTCTGGTGATGCAATCAATGCTGCAACATTCCAGCTAGGCCCCGGGCTGTGTCACTAAAGCAATTGTAACTGCTGCCAGGGCAATCCTACACGCAGGGCGCGATCTGGTGGCCATGGCAAACACTGTGGCAGCGAACCGTCCAACTAAAGCTTCGTTGAGCCCAGCAGTAGCAAGAGGCAGCAATGTGCAAACATTCGTCCCAGTGCTCCAGCACGCATGCTCCATCGCTCGCAATGCACAGCAAGTGCATCGCGCCGCCTGAAAAATTCACGATTTTGGTCGCGAGACGACGTCAGGTGCTCTCGGCAGCGGCATTCGCGGCAGAAAGATACTCATCCTGCACCGGGCGAAAGTTCTCAGAACCCTGAAATCCTTCAACCATGAACTACCGGCACTTGCGACTGTCCCTGAAGCCAACTCACGAAAAGATGCAGATCATCCTGAGAGCAGCTCTTTCCCAGCGCGAAGGCATCCCTTAGAACTGAACTGTGCGAGGGAGTGTCGTCAGGCTGAATGGATGCAGGGGTTCTGGTCCGCCTCATGACATGTCCGCTCTCTAGCAGCATGCCCAAGGGCCCAATGTTAAGAAGTGAAACGAAGTCCGATTTCAATTACGTTCAGATCGGAATCGAAAGACTGGACCCTAGGTCAAGCAGAGCATATCTTTAGGCCCCATGACTGATACGTCCGTCAATGCAGTTCCGCGGCCGCTTTGACAAAAAGTACACAATACAAGCATAACACAGATCTAGGACGTTTGCATGTCAACCCGCCCACGTCCTTTCAGCTACTGCAAACACAAGGGGAGCTCGAGCCGTAAGGAATTCAGCCTGAGGCCAAGGTGCGAGGCCGCCACAAATTTGGCAGTGTTGCGAGCAGCGACCACGTAGAGGTCACGCTCTGCTTGCAAAAATGGGTGGAAGCCGTATTTCCTCATCCGAGTCAGTCAGAGTTGATGACGCTGTGCCCTTCCGTTTTCAAGAACCCGATGTATTTCACAGCAGGCCATGTCACTGGCTCAAAAACATATCCTGAACAAGCCCAAGATCTTGAACAACAGGGAAAAGGCAGATTGATCGTCATTGTGGTGTCTGAAGTTCGGGTAGTCCGGAACTCCAAGTGCCTGAGCGCTTGGAATTGTTGATTCCCACTGGAGCGGGCCAAAAAGACTTACGTGTCTCGTGTTCGCTAGCAGCCGAGTCTGTTGGAGCTTGGATGCGGACACCTGTCACGATGATGCGCCACGGCGGCAAACAATTTGGCTACGCGTCGGCGCGGAAAGCCCTGTCTCACCGACCGAGTTCCAACATCCCGTTGGAGACCCCCAAATCCCCGGTGACGGCGTCAAAATCTAAACTTTTCTGAGACCTTCAGGTATTCAAAACCAGAAAGAGGAAAGCTTGATTTGTGTGCACAGCGGCCCAAGCAGAAACCGAAAAACCGGATCCCCGCTGAGGACATCTTAGGACATAGCTTGGCTTGAACAGGTGGAAAAGAAGGCACATCCCAAATGCACTACTTCGCGAACCCTCTCGGAAGCGTTTGCTTGGAGCTTCGGGTCGCCAGCCCAAAGTGAAACACATGAACACCTACACCGAAGCTCGTCATGCTCCCAGGGGGCCGATGGTGTTTCGGTGATGATCCGCTCGTCCTCGCAGGCGCTCAACCAGTTCTCCATGAAGCGCATCGCCAACGGCGTCTTCCGGACCAGGATGATTCCTGCCATCAGGTACCCGTGAATGGCACTAACTCCTGACTCGTTGAAAGTGACGGCAATTGTGATGCAACCCCACGCCGCCCCCCGAACAATCCGAGCATGAAGACAATGTACCAGCAGCACAGCGCCCTGAACTTCCATAAAGATTAAGGGGGGGGAGGTGGTGAGAGATGTCCTGTAGCGATCTGGCTGGTTCGGACGATGCTGTCCTGAGATATAGTCAGACTTGGGGGCGAAGCTTCGGCTGCTCCTGTCAGTCTGCCGGGAAACATGGTCCGCATCGAGCAGGATGAAGGCATCCTCTGATAATGCTTGGGTGATTGGGCTTCAGGGTGACCTCCAAGGGCCCACCTTGAATGTAAACAACTGAGTAGAGCACCTTTGCTGAAACTACAACAAACGCAAGCACGGCAGCAAGTCGTGCTGAGCGTCGCGTTTGGTCACGTCGCCTTCCATCATGGGTGTCTGTGTTGCCTGGGGTTCGCCAAATCATCCCCGACACAACTTCACGGACCGCTGTTCTCGGCTGCTTGTTTGTCCAAGGCTCCGATATGTCAGAACTCGCCAAGTAGCGCTCAACTAATGGCCTCAACCTTGGCAAAGACTTGTGGAAACAGTAAGTTGCTAAAAAGCTCTCGCAAAGACCCTCTCTGCTCACTCTATCTCAGCATGTCTCTCCTGCAGTTTGTTTGGCATGCCTTGAGTGCTTGAATATGACTGAATCTTCTGCAGGCCTAGGGCCGATGAGGAACCCCATGGAACCCCATGGAACCAGTGCATACCTCTGGTTAAAGGGGGGCCAGGGCTGAAAACATGCTCGAGCTGTTCAGGAGCGGAGCACAGCAAACAACACACGGCTCACATCTACCGTTTGCCCACGCTCGTCCTGACGTACGGATTGACAGCGCGGGTGAGGCCAGGAGTTTGGAGCTCGACTCCCGCTGTGTAGTCGGGACACTCCCTGATGAAGTGCACGCCAGCATCTGTCCATAGCACCTCAAATTCAACATTTCTGCAGGCAGCAAGGACTGGCGATATATCTATTTACGCAGCACCACGATATGAGCTTCCACGTACGAATTTGCTAGGGCACAATGTCATTCCACTCAATCGACGGGTCCTTCAAGGTCTCCAGTACGACAAAGGGCTTCCAAACCTCAATGGGAAGCTCTTAACATCTTGCATTTCGTCTGCATGGTTACTGCAACAAACCTGTACTATAGAATTGGCTTGATCACGTCACACACCACGCTTGCACTCGATGCCTGGACGTTGACTGTTGCCAGCTCAAGTTGCCGCGAGCCAACATGTCGCAACCATGATGCTGCAGGATCTGTGATAACATTGGTACGAATAATTCATGCTGAGGGACATAATAGCCAACCTTGCCTGAGGGGGTCTTTCCCGAGGTGAGGTCGTGGCCTGGCGAATTGTCACTGGCGCCCTGATGTCACAAGAAACATGAGTTTGATTTCTGAAAATCTGAGTTTCGAGACACTGCAACTTCGCAAGGATGCTGTCTAGCCGCCACGCACCCATTTGAGCAAATGGGCGTTGCGCTCACGGAAGTCTGCAGTAAGAAAGTCCCCTCTCAATGGTCGCGACTCATTGGCCTGATGTGCGAGAAGCATGCAACATGCGATGCCGCTGCTCAGTTGCAACGATTGCTTTAGCCGTATTCGGCAAGACTCTCATGCTGACCTTTTTTGACAACTTAGACCAAAGTTGACCTGAAACAGGACAGACTGCCGGCAACTCTGCCCCGGAGCATGACGAAGCACGGGAAGTCTACGAAACGCAAAGGAGATACATTTAGAAGCACTTGGTCACACCATGGTAGTCAAGCTGCCCCAAATTCCAGCGCCGTTCTTGATGACTTCGCCTGCTCCGTCTCGCAGCAGCCATCGGCAAAGTTTACGTGCACAATTCTCACCTGGAGCATGGTCGTGATTGGTGCGAGACTTCAATCTGCCAATCAAGGCTCAGGCATCGAGGTCCTTGCAACACAAAGCGCGAGATGCTTGCTAGGGGCATCTGGTTCCAACGCCAGCTGGCGTGGCCCATCCACGGTGTCTTGCATGATCTCCATCGGGCGCTTTGGCGTCATTGGCCTTATCGACAAGTCTCGTCTAACAAATGCGTGACAAAAAAACACATGCACCACTGCCTGCCACTCCAAGGCAATCATGCAAAAAGACCGGCAAGGCAGGTTCAATGATGATGAGGGCTTAACCATGCTTCATAGTCATGCCCATGATCTCGACTTACGTACCGCTGCTGCTACTGCTGGCTTGACAGTCACGAACCACCACGACTGAATCAGCACCAACGTCATTTCGAACAGCCGCGGGTGCTTCTACTGCTAGAAAACAACTACAACACTGCTGCTGCTACCTCTTCGTCCTGCTTCTGCCGCTGCTTACTCGGATATCATTATTAACAACAGTGACAACAACAACAACAACAGCCGCAGCAACAGCAACAGCAACAGCAACAGCAACAGCAACAACAGCAACAGCAACAGCAACAGCAACAGCATCAACAACAACAGCACTCTCAGCAGCAACAGCGTAAACAACGGCAACAGCAACAGCAACAGCAACAGCAACAACAACAACAGCAACAGCAACAGCAACAACAACAACAACAGTAATAATACTCAGTAATACTACTCAGTAATAATAGCCAAAATAACAACAAGAAGATAAACAACCGAAACCATAGTTGCAACAGCAACAATACTCATACTACTACTACTACTAC